ATGAGTGTGCTGAAGTAATGGTACTTTAGACCTGAAACCTATATAATATATCATTATCACAGATTACATCTGAGATCTCAAAACAGTAGAAAAAATATATATAGGTAATTTTCCTAAAAAAAATTACACGTTTGAAAAAAGTCTCCACAGGGTTGAAGGAAATGAATACTTGGGCATAGGCTTTGTTCTCCTGTCAGATGTTTCCCAGAATATCAGACATTTCCCAGGAACAAAGGCTTCATAACCTACAGCATTTTTGGTTTTTCTGTTCTTATAAACCAAAATAATAATCAAAAGAAACATTGTATCAGAGAAGCACTTAAATCTGTCATGTCCCAGGATGTAGAATATACTCCTCCTGCTGCAATTGTTGATGCAATCAATAAATTAAATGAAAAAATAATAAGTGATGCCATCACTGAATTCCCTGTAACACTGTAAGCAGAGAAAAGTCCACTGATAAATTTTTATCTATTTCATTCACAAAAACACTTGAAGCTTGAGACTGATTTCAGCTTTACAGGATCATGCTCTTGTTTAGTAACTCCATTACTCTCTTAATTACACCTTGTTGTGACTGATAAAGACCTTTTTACTGCAGAGTTTGGGATATCCAAAGTCACTGAACAGTTAGGCTTGAAGGGATCTCTGAAAACCAGGTAGTCATATTCCCTGTTCAAAGCAAGGTTAATGTCAAAGTAATATGGAGCTGCTCAGGACCTCATCCAATTGTTCCATGTCCTACAGAGCTTCAGTTCAGCAGAGACCAATCCTGTGAACGTCAGGAAATACAAAGAGAAGGTATCACCAGTGCCACTGTAAAACTGCTTTGCTGAAGTTGCCAAAAGCCACCAAGAGTTTTCCAGGCTCCAGGCAGAATGCCTGCACTACCTTGAGAAGGTGGGAGGTTTAATTACAGCAAGCTAGCAGAGCTGTGAAACCAGCGTGGGCTGACAATATGCCCGTGGAAAGACTGGGTGCATATGATACGATGAAGAGGTATAAAAGTATTGGCAAAAGACAGTGACAAATAATTTCTTCTGGCTCAGAATCCTTTTGCTATAGGGAACTGTCTGCAAGTAAGTGGTATATAAGGATGGGTTGAGCATTTGATGATGGGTTCGAGGAAATCAGAGCATTTAACAGCATTAAGGAGTTATAAAATTTGTCCACGTGATTTTGCCATAGAACAGCCTCAGAATTTGAATGGTCAGTAGGGCCATTTTTGAGAACTTGCCCAAACACAACTAGTGCCAAAGCAAAGAGGGCTTGAGGATCTCCTACATGCATTTTTCTTGGGCAACTTGCTCTCTCTGCCAGTACCTGATCTTCCTGCACAGTGTCCCAGCAGAAGGCACCCACTTGCAACCTGACTGTTGTAAAGACAGACTGAACAGTTAGCTTCAAGTCCATCTGCTGGACTTCATGGAATAATTGATTTACCTTGAGGTCCCCTTGGATTGTGGTTCACATGAGGGAACAAAAAGAGATGCCCAGCTCTATGAAAAAGGCAGCTTATTCCCTTCTCTCCTTCCACCCGCTCGCCAGTTCATACACACAGGGAGAGAGAATAGGTCATAGATGATGACTTCTGCAGGCACAGGGCTTGTTGAAATCCAGCTTACTTGTACATAGGAGCAGAAGTAGAGGGATAAAAATGCCCTCATTGTCCCAAAATATGCTTGCTGCCTTTCTTCCAACTGTTGCTACTTTCCAGGATACCATTCTGAACCACCATTCCCACTTTCAGTTTCTATTGGAGTTCTTGTGGTTCTTTTCCACAACTTGACCAACCTCCTCTTTTCCACTCACTCTTCACAGTAATCATTAAGCACCTCATTTATTTGTTCATTTTTACTCTAAATATTGCCTGGAAGGCTATAACATTCAAGTCATGTTTCATATACAAATATGTTTTAAATATGTATTTTCAATTAAATAACAGCCAATCTCTTAAAATCTGAATCCTCAGGAAGACATATTGTAACCACCTGCCTACAGTTACTTCTCCGATTTTCAGCAAAGGCAGATTCCAAATTCACAACAGCTAGGTGTAAGTTAGATTCTGAGCCACCAACATCTTTGGAAACAGGTAGGGGAAACCATTTTGGCAAAGTATTTCTGCACACAAAAAATTCATTTGCTTAGTGAACAAAATCCTACACTTCACAATGCGTTAAATTCAGCCTCTCTCAATGAGAGGTAGAGTCTAGTCGTAGTGGAGAAAATGCTGAGAAACTGGGACTAGCCGAGGAATTGCTGAAAGCAACAACAAATCATGAGGGAATCTGTGTACTTCAAGAAATGCTATGGGGTCAGCCCACACCCTCATTCTCGGAGACTGTATCATAGAAATCTGTTGCTCATATGACCCCAAGTTCTCACCTGCTCATCACCTTCTACAGTATCTTATGTATTTCACAGTAATCCAAAGCAGCACAAAGATTTCAGAGCCCTCATGCTGCAGCCAAACGGATCTGCAGTATACCCCAGGGTTTTGGTCCCTCTATCATCTGGGGACCTGGCCAGGCACTCTGCAGTGCCCATCTGCTGCACACAGATGGGCTTCCTCGCAAAGGAAACAAGAGCGGGAGGGATGGGGTTGCCACACATCCTAGTTGTGCCCTGATATGCCCTAGACAGACTGCGACCAGGGCACATACCTCTTCTCGGGTGCTCAGATGCATTCCCAGGTCCCATACTCTAGAAATAGCCTTAGAAAACCTGTTTTTTAAACTCATAGGCCTTCTTAACTCCATGGCAGAGTTGATGCTCTGCTTTGCTCTAATATACATCGAGCCTTCAGAAGGACTGGAAATACAGGAACATGCTTAATTACTTATTTTTAAACATGCGACAGATATGCAACAATTTTAATGTCTAGACTATAATTTACATAAATACATTTTAAACCAAAACATTTCAAAATTATTTATCTCCTGCTTCTACGCCTAAGTGCCTTGCTGGATTGGGGCCAGACTGCAGGATCGAGCCGAAGGTGCATAAATCAAACCTTCAAAGAAATATAATGTTCACAAAGACTGTATTCGGCTGAGCAAATTTAGAAGAATGAAACCAACTATGAAGAGAAATTAGATTGGCTGAAAATTAATAAAGCACAGCTGGAATTATTCGATTCATCCATATTTGTTGCTTAAATGGCTTTAGGGCTAAGTCTTGCTGAAAGAAGATACTTCAAGACTTAGGGGTCAATTGCTTTTGGAGACAAATTGACCTACAGGAATACACTTGTCTAATTTGGTTCTTGCAGTGGGGCAAATCTAGAGAAATATATAACCAAAAAACCAATTTAGATTCCAGTGAGTGGATACCAGAGGTCAAGTTTAAGGTTCCCATAAATTTACATACATACTCTAAAAGATTAATAACTTTTCAAGCTACTGGGTTTCTTTGCTAAAAGCAAAGACTTATAGATAACATCTGAGAAAGAAACAACATATGTGCTTATTCCACATTCTGTTGGATAAATACCATGCAGCCAGCTCATTGCTTGCTGCTGTGGCTAGCCCTGCAGTATTGCATACAATTTGGTCGTACTCAGGGAGTGCAAGCAACAGTATTGCTGGCTCAGCTCCTAGAAGAAAGCATATTCAGATCTCACCATCATTAATTTTATGTGCCAGTTCATATACTACATTTTTAGTTAATCAGTCTTACTACTATTAGTATATAGAGACCCATATCCAGTCATATAGTTATTATATAGTTTGCAATGAGGCTTCTGAATACAGTTATCTGTTGTAAATATAGTGCTTTTCTAGACAGATGAAATTTTTGTATGTTCATACATCAGTATTGTTTCCTACTCAAAATCAGAATTTCTTTTATAAAATAGCAGCAAAATGGACCAGTATTAAAATACAAAAATATACTTCAGAATACAAAATTATTTTAGAAACATGCAAGCCCTGAAGCTGGCATTAACCTTCTGAGAAATTTACAGAACTTAAGCCCAGAATTTACTTGGGCCAACTCAAAATTTCACTCTCAGTCAATATTATCTTTGTAATATACAATATTTTCTCTTCAAGTTGCAGATTTTTTAAATTCAGCCATGGCAAAAATAACATTTCCATTCAGGTAATTTACCAGGCGTAAAAATGAAAAAATTAAAAAGATAAATTAACATATTTCACTGTAAATTATCAGAAATCTGACCACTAATAAAAGTATACAAAATTAACAGATAACGTTGTATGTAGAAAAATATTCTAAAAACTCAAAAGGTTTTTATTTTTTTTTTGTTTCCTTTCACTGCTTCCAGGTTCAATAGATACTTATAAATGAATGATTTCTCAAAAAATATACAAATCCTGACTGGCATCACCTTCAGAAAATTTGCATGGCAGGGAAAGGTACAAACTTTTGTTTGGAGTTGTTTTCAAACACATTAGTGGTCAGAAGGAACAACATACATTAATCTCTTTAGACCTCTTCTTAAAAAAATGGGTTTGGGATTTTTCTACATTTTTCTTTTCAAGTCATGGAACTTAACATATTTCTTAAAAGTATATGTAAAAACATGTCACATGGGAGATGCACTATCCTGTGACTTTCAATCTGCAAAGGCCCAAAGTAGAAAAACCACGCGATACAAACACAAGGAAGAGAATTTATTGCACGATCCCATCTTTTTGTAAACTGTAATCTGTTTGCTATTTCTTAAGTGATTAAGAAACTGTATCTCTTCACATCCAGTAAGTAAAGAGATCCTAGAAAGTGGGGTGAATTTCTGTCTACAATAAGTAGTTTCTCTTTAAATGAAAAACATTCAAAATTCTAGATAAGTTCTAATTTTGAGACAAGTTCACTCCTCTGAAGCTCTGTTATGTATTCAAAGTAGAAAGATTACGTTATTTGCACAACATAATGTAATTTTTATGATGCAGCAAGTTTAGACCCCACATTATCAGTATTGTTTGTACACCCAAAGGATTCTGGTTATGTCAGCTCTACAAAGGAAGCGTTGGTGAGTTTACCTGTATAGTCCTCTGAGTGCCATCAATGGTGACAGACAGTAAGGGTGAAGCCAGGTTCCACTCGCTGGTCACATTTAGTTTCATCCCATCAACTTCCACCTGTTGTGACACCAAACAAGGCTGTTACTATGAAGACAGACAGAAAACTGATCTCAAGTTCATTACTGCATACAAAGCAGCAACCATTTTAAAACAGATGGCTCCCAAACAACCTGTCATGTTTACTGCTTCTGCCATAAAAGACAGGGTCCAACAACAGAGTCTTCCAGCTATCTCTGGGGAGAGGTGAAGGACCTGTGAACAGCTGCCTCTGAGTAGCAAGGTTTCAAGTGATTTCCAGCAAGTAACAAACAGCCATCCAACTTTTAAACCTATCTGGACATGCTACATTTACTGCAATTAGACAAGTAATGCATATAAATTCCAGTGACACCTTGCAACCCACACAACAGGGCTTGCATATAATATTCTCTCCAAGGACCAAGGAAGAACTTTTCCTATGCTTCTAATGAAGGGTTTTGCATTGTTATCTTAATTAATATGAAGCAGTAATTAATTCTTCAGTGCTTTGCCTCGAAGTGTAGAAAAACTTTGCAAATTCTGTCATGTTTTCTTCCAATACACAGCTGATCAGAGGAATACAATTTCTGACTTCATTACCAATATATTTATCCAGCAAGATTTTTTAAAAATATCCCATAATCCTTATACAAAAATATTTCTAGATGTAGAGCATAAAGAAAGTGTAGATCAGAGTAGCTGTAATGATATTTCTATCATTCTTCTATTGTATAGTATTATTTTAAAACACACATCACCCATTCAACCCTGTAAGAGCCTCAGAGGAAAACCTGGATTATAAAAAAAATACTACATATGGACTAATATAATTAGTGGTTAATATTTGTGGCATGTTTTGAACACTCATCATGCTATCCAAGGCAGGTAAATATTATTTTAGTTATATATTTTACTATAAAGAGGAGAAAAATAATGGTTGGCTGATTTCTTTCCTCTCTCAAAATCTCCAAAATATTTTCAATCAGTAAACTACAGACCATATTGATAATGACACAAATATTGCATACATTCTCAGTAAACTAGATGAAAATTACTTTCAGAATAAAAGCTGAGCCCACATTTTTCAAAATAAAGCCTATTCTTTTAGATCTCAGACTAATCATTATTTCATTTTATAATAAGAACAGGCAGCTGCAATCTTAGTGTAACTTAGAATAAATCCATAACAGAGAAGTGCAGAGGAGCAGTGTGTAATTCGATAATTTTATTTCAGTTGAGAAGAAAAAGCTCTGGCTTAAAAAACCTCTAATTTTATAGACCTCAGTTTAGAACACAAAATCTGTCTTTTAGTGATACAGTTTCTACAGGCTTTAACTATAAATGAAGTTACATGTAAGGAACATGATGAAAAACAAGTCATTTGTAATGGTTCACCAATAGGCCAGATTAGCTGGCATGCTTCAGGTACTTTACACTGCTCCAGTGATGCAAACCAGCCATAAACCCGGCGTGAGTTAAACCAGACCTGCAGCTGGTTTGCATTGCCAGAGGACTGCAAAGCAGCTGGAACACACCGGTGAACCTAGCCTGCCCTCAGCAAACCTGAATCAGCAGATACTGCCTTTATTGAGAACAGCAGAAACATCTGAAAAAGACTTTCCAAATGGAGAAAAACAAATCCAGTGCTGTCTCATCTCTCTTTGATTAGCAATTGAACTTTGGTGAAGCAGTTATTTTAAAAGTTGTCTGTCACTATCGCTACAACTGCACTGGAGCCTGGGTCTGAAAGCATCATTTACCATGTTTCTCCAGGGAAGGAGGGGAGATGCTATGAAAGCATACCAGGCTACTGACCATCAAAACAACTTCAACTGTACACCACGCTTGCTACACAGTGGGATTTACACACAGACTCACAGAAAATCTATAGCCAATACCCATAGTCTTCGTGAAGAGTGTTCCAGTGGCACAATGCAAGTTGATATCTCCACAACAGACCTCAATTTAATCATTAGGTTTTTTGTCACTGTATAGAAGAACAAAAGAAAAGTAGGCCAAGTGTGCTCACAGCAGTAAATGACGTGTTTAAAATCCCCCACAAGGGTCCATACAAGTCTAGCCATCAATTCCAGATTACATTAGCATAAAAAAAATTTCTGGTGGAAACCACCCTGAAAGAAGAGACACAAGCAGTCAAACAGTAGGTCTAAACAAATTGTGACACTCTAGAAACACTATGGCTGCTTATGCACAACAAAAAAAAACAAACTAGAAGATAATACACTGCCTCTGTTATATTTTCCTCGTTCAAGAAAGAATAAAGGGCCAGGGCAGGGCAGTGTTATTTGAAATAATGCATACCAAGTAACCTGCAGCAGTCTTCACACAGAATGAAGCTATAGGCTCTTAGCTGCTTTTACCTGGGACTCACCATGGTATTTTCAACTGGAGAAGATGACGTGAAGCCAAGAGGATCACAAGGAAGCTGTCTATCTCTGCTCTAAATGGTAGGATGATAAAATCAGGAGGTCAAGCCATCAGAGAAAAGGAACAAGGACTGAGGGCAAGAGATTTACCATGTAGTGAGTATATTACTTCCACTACAAACGAGGGGAAAGTGGTGGTTGGGAGGGACAACAGAAAAGAGATGGCAGTTGAAATCAAACCAATGTTTTACCTAATAGAGGAAATTTTCCTTCGGCAGCCAAGAGCCAAGCAAGGTTAGTTGGTGGAAGCAGGGGAATAGGTAAGATGTTCAAAGAATTTCTCAGAAGTTCACATTTGCCTTCATTCCTCCTCTTGCAATGGAAATGATAATAGAACCTAACAAACACTACAATAAAATCAGGGCATTTTTGCTTTAGTCTTGGGGGGGTGAAGGGGGACATGGAGACAACTAATTAAGAGTTATATTGACTATTTCCTGGTTTATTTTGTTTCTGTGCTCATAAACCAGCCAGGAACAAATCATCACTCAACAGATACTAACACCAGAACTCTAGGGAGGAGACCCCAGCCAAATCACTCATGCAGTGGGCCACATAGTGCTTTACACCTCGGCTATTTAATCTAGCTTTATCCTCAACTACTCAGTTCCAAGCGTGTGCACGAGTATGTATGCGTGCACATGCGCATCGTTGTGTGTTGCGTGGGGGAATTACTCTGTAGCAACTATGGTTGGTTGAACCATTGCTACTCTACATCAACGTGGCATGGCAGTGGCAGATTTTTTTTTTTAAGAGGATTGTTTGTCCCTGTATAAGGACATAAAAGATAAAAACAGCCGTGGTCCCCCTTTACAATTATTTCCAATTCAAAAGCTATTGTAAATGAGGTCTCGGAAAGAGGAATGACAAGTCCAAGACACGATGTTAGAAAAAGGTCAACAGCTTACTCTACTGTCACAACTTTGCAGACTTTTGCTGGCATGCACCTGAACTACACAAGTAGCAGCCCCTTCACCTCTTGTGGACTCAGTTCCTGATGTTCAGCATGATAGGTACCAGCTAACCAATAGTGCAAAGAGCTGCAAAGCATAATCTGCATTCAGTTTCCTTTAGAGAACATCATTTGGCATTCTATATGCATGTCAGGCAATTAAAGGAGGCAGCACAAGCCTGAGTGTTATAGCCCTGTTAATTTACTAATGCAGAGTCTCGCATACATCTGGCACATGTCACTTCTTTTCTCCTGGAAACGAAGGTGGTTTTCCAGGAGACTAGAGGGCAGCTCGAGCAGTTGTTTCCTGCCTGATACTTCAAAACATTATGCCTGAAGTTCCTCATGCCAGCCTTGATTCTGACTAACTTAAATCTGCTACCTTAATCCCATGGTTCCAATTTTGCCTCCCATCACAGTGTTGAACCCAACTTTAACTTGACGCTTTTGGTATAATTCCTAGCCTAGGGAGTCCTCACCCTAACTACTGGGTTATACCACCCCTACCCTGATTCCTTACACCCCTTAACTCTACCTCTTGCTACAGCAGCAGAAGTGATGACTTTCCCTAGTCAATCAGATCAGCCAAATAAAAACAATCCTCTGCAGACTGGCCTTGCTGAAATTTTTCTCTGATCAAGACAGCCTTCCATAAAAATGCTCCCTTTCAAGAAAAAAGGTATTACTATTCACAGGATATTTATGAATATTCAGTGTGACAGACTGCAAGACCTTCAACTGGCATTAAATTAGCTGTAAATCTAAGGCACAGTGAGTAGCAAGGACTCTACAAACAGAAAACTTAAAATCATCCTGCAAGGAAGGAACAATGGTAGCAAGCATCACTGTTGTAAATGTGAGGTAGCATACACGTTTGAGGACTTTCCTACTATACAAAGTAAAGATGTCCTCTTCTCTGGGAAAAGTAACTGTCTTGGGCAGAAGCATCTTCACCTCCATTGCTGCTATACAACATCACCCATGCCAAAATAACAAGGAGATTATTTTCATTTTTATCAGACAGGTAAAGGGTAAGTATTGCTTCTTGTGCAGAAGAGGGGGTGGGCAGAGGGCTCATAGCACAGCGTGGCAAAAGAAGATCCAGCTGTAGGCAGCATTATTCAGTAACAGTTAGTCTGCAGTGATCTCAGACTGAACCAAATTGAGTTGGACAAAGCAGCTTCTGGTCCACAAACATTTTTCACAAAAATCCTGAAACTCTCATCTAGTCTAATGGAGAAGCACATGGAATGGAAAAGGCAAGCAAAAACCATCCTGTGCCAAAGCTATTACCCCTCACCTTTTGCAGTCCCATGTATCCTTAGGAATAAAAGCAAAGTCATTATGGGGCTGATGAGTCTAAGGCTCACTTCAGAAGCAATATGCATGAAACTCCTGGCATTTTGTAAGATATTTTGCTAGTCTTCAATGTAAAAAACCCCAAAAAACACCACCTCTTTCCCAGTCAGGAGAGCTCAAACGCTATTTTGCATCTCTATATATTCCCAAAGCTAATAACCAGAACACACTTCCTTATCATGAAAATTACCAGCCATCTGGAGGCTGTAAGGACTTGTGGTCACTTGCAAAGCTGTCTCAGCAATTACTGGGTCTTCCTATACAATTTTCTCCAACTCCCT